TATGGGACATGGGCTATGGGACATGGGCTATGGGACATGGGCTATGGGACATGGGCTATGGGACATGGGCTATGGGACATGGGCTATGGGACATGGGCTATGGGACATGGGCTATGGGACATGGGCTATGGGACATGGGCTATGGGACATGGGCTATGGGACATGGGCTATGGGACATGGGCTATGGGACATGGGCTATGGGACATGGGCTATGGGACATGGGCTATGGGACATGGGCTATGGGACATGGGCTATGGGACATGGGCTATGGGACATGGGCTATGGGACATGGGCTATGGGACATGGGCTATGGGACATGGGCTATGGGACATGGGCTATGGGACATGGGCTATGGGACATGGGCTATGGGACATGGGCTATGGGACATGGGCTATGGGACATGGGCTATGGGACATGGGCTATGGGACATGGGCTATGGGACATGGGCTATGGGACATGGGCTATGGGACATGGGCTATGGGACATGGGCTATGGGACATGGGCTATGGACATGGGCTATGGGACATGGGCTATGGGACATGGGCTATGGGACATGGGCTATGGGACATGGGCTATGGGACATGGGCTATGGGACATGGGCTATGGGACATGGGCTATGGGACCTAGGGCTATGGGACATGGGCTATGGGACATGGGCTATGGGACATGGGCTTATGGGACATGGGCTATGGGACATGGGCTATGGACATGGGCTATGGGACATGGGCTATGGGACATGGGCTATGGGACAATGGGCTATGGGACATGGGCTATGGGACATGGGCTTATGGGACATGGCTATGGGACATGGGCTATGGGACATGGGCTATGGGACATGGGCTATGGGACATGGGCTATGGGACATGGGCTATGGGACAATGGGCTATGGGACCATGGGCTATGGGACATGGGCTATGGGACATGGGCTATGGGACATGGGCTATGGGACATGGGCTATGGACATGGGCTATGGGACAGGGCTATGGGACATGGGCTATGGGACATGGGCTATGGGACATGGGCTATGGGACATGGGCTATGGGACAATGGGCTATGGGACATGGGCTATGGGACATGGGCTATGGGACATGGGCTATGGGACCTGGGCTATGGGACATGGGCTATGGGACATGGGCTATGGGACAATGGCTATGGGACATGGGCTATGGGACATGGGCTATGGGACATGGGCTATGGGACATGGGCTATGGGACATGGGCTATGGGACATGGGCTATGGGACATGGGCTATGGGACATGGGCTATGGGACATGGGCTATGGGACATGGGCTATGGGACATGGGCTATGGGACATGGGCTATGGGACATGGGCTATGGGACATGGGCTATGGGACATGGGCTATGGGACATGGGCTATGGGACATGGGCTATGGGACATGGGCTATGGGACATGGGCTATGGGACATGGGCTATGGGACATGGGCTATGGGACATGGGCTATGGGACATGGGCTATGGGACATGGGCTATGGGACATGGGCTATGGGACATGGGCTATGGGACATGGGCTATGGGACATGGGCTATGGGACATGGGCTATGGGACATGGGCTATGGGACATGGGCTATGGGACATGGGCTATGGGACATGGGCTATGGGACATGGGCTATGGGACATGGGCTATGGGACATGGGCTATGGGACATGGGCTATGGGACATGGGCTATGGGACATGGGCTATGGGACATGGGCTATGGGGGCTATGGGACATGGGCTATGGGACATGGGCTATGGGACATGGGCTATGGGACATGGGCTATGGGACATGGGCTATGGGACATGGGCTATGGGACATGGGCTATGGGACATGGGCTATGGGACATGGGCTATGGGACATGGGCTATGGGACATGGGCTATGGGACATGGGCTATGGGACATGGGCTATGGGACATGGGCTATGGGACATGGGCTATGGGACATGGGCTATGGGACATGGGCTATGGGACATGGGCTATGGGACATGGGCTATGGGACATGGGCTATGGGACATGGGCTATGGGACATGGGCTATGGGACATGGGCTATGGGACATGGGCTATGGGGGCTATGGGACATGGGCTATGGGACATGGGCTATGGGACATGGGCTATGGGACATGGGCTATGGGACATGGGCTATGGGACATGGGCTATGGGACATGGGCTATGGGACATGGGCTATGGGACATGGGCTATGGGACATGGGCTATGGGACATGGGCTATGGGACATGGGCTATGGGACATGGGCTATGGGACATGGGCTATGGGACATGGGCTATGGGACATGGGCTATGGGACATGGGCTATGGGACATGGGCTATGGGACATGGGCTATGGGACATGGGCTATGGGACATGGGCTATGGGACATGGGCTATGGGACATGGGCTATGGGACATGGGCTATGGGACATGGGCTATGGGACATGGGCTATGGGACATGGGCTATGGGACATGGGCTATGGGACATGGGCTATGGGACATGGGCTATGGGACATGGGCTATGGGACATGGGCTATGGGACATGGGCTATGGGACATGGGCTATGGGACATGGGCTATGGGACATGGGCTATGGGACATGGGCTATGGGACATGGGCTATGGGACATGGGCTATGGGACATGGGCTATGGGACATGGGCTATGGGACATGGGCTATGGGACATGGGCTATGGGACATGGGCTATGGGACATGGGCTATGGGACATGGGCTATGGGACATGGGCTATGGGACATGGGCTATGGGACATGGGCTATGGGACATGGGCTATGGGACATGGGCTATGGGACATGGGCTATGGGACATGGGCTATGGGACATGGGCTATGGGACATGGGCTATGGGACATGGGCTATGGGACATGGGCTATGGGACATGGGCTATGGGACATGGGCTATGGGACATGGGCTATGGGACATGGGCTATGGGACATGGGCTATGGGACATGGGCTATGGGACATGGGCTATGGGACATGGGCTATGGGACATGGGCTATGGGACATGGGCTATGGGACATGGGCTATGGGACATGGGCTATGGGACATGGGCTATGGGACATGGGCTATGGGACATGGGCTATGGGACATGGGCTATGGGACATGGGCTATGGGACATGGGCTATGGGACATGGGCTATGGGACATGGGCTATGGGACATGGGCTATGGGACATGGGCTATGGGACATGGGCTATGGGACATGGGCTATGGGACATGGGCTATGGGACATGGGCTATGGGACATGGGCTATGGGACATGGGCTATGGGACATGGGCTATGGGACATGGGCTATGGGACATGGGCTATGGGACATGGGCTATGGGACATGGGCTATGGGACATGGGCTATGGGACATGGGCTATGGGACATGGGCTATGGGACATGGGCTATGGGACATGGGCTATGGGACATGGGCTATGGGACATGGGCTATGGGACATGGGCTATGGGACATGGGCTATGGGACATGGGCTATGGGACATGGGCTATGGGACATGGGCTATGGACATGGGCTATGGGACATGGGCTATGGGACATGGGCTATGGGACATGGGCTATGGGAACATGGGCTATGGGACATGGGCTATGGGACATGGGCTATGGGACATGGGCTATGGACATGGGCTATGGGACATGGGCTAGGGGACATGGGCTATGGGACATGGGCTATGGGACATGGGCTATGGGACATGGGCTATGGGACATGGGCTATGGGACATGGGCTATGGGACATGGGCTATGGGACATGGGCTATGGGACATGGGCTATGGGACATGGGCTATGGGACATGGGCTATGGGACATGGGCTATGGGACATGGGCTATGGGACATGGGCTATGGGACATGGGCTATGGGACATGGGCTATGGGACATGGGCTATGGGACATGGGCTATGGGACATGGGCTATGGGACATGGGCTATGGGACATGGGCTATGGGACATGGGCTATGGGACATGGGCTATGGGACATGGCTATGGGACATGGGCTATGGGACATGGGCTATGGGACATGGGCTATGGGACATGGGCTATGGGACATGGGCTATGGGACATGGGCTATGGGACATGGGCTATGGGACATGGGCTATGGGACATGGGCTATGGGACATGGGCTATGGGACATGGGCTATGGGACATGGGCTATGGGACATGGGCTATGGGACATGGGCTATGGGACCATGGGCTATGGGACATGGGCTATGGGACATGGGCTATGGGACATGGGCTATGGGACATGGGCTATGGGACATGGGCTATGGGACATGGGCTATGGGACATGGGCTATGGGACATGGGCTATGGGACATGGGCTATGGGACATGGGCTATGGGACATGGGCTATGGGACATGGGCTATGGGACATGGGCTATGGGACATGGGCTATGGGACATGGGCTATGGGACATGGGCTATGGGACATGGGCTATGGGACATGGGCTATGGGACATGGCTATGATGGCTATGGGACATGGGCTATGGGACATGGGCTATGGGACATGGGCTATGGGACATGGGCTATGGGACATGGGCTATGGGACATGGGCTATGGCACATGGGCTATGGCACATGGGCTATGGCACATGGGCTATGGCACATGGGCTATGGCACATGGGCTATGGCACATGGGCTATGGCACATGGGCTATGGCACATGGGCTATGGCACATGGGCTATGGCACATGGGCTATGGCACATGGGCTATGGCACATGGGCTATGGCACATGGGCTATGGCACATGGGCTATGGCACATGGGCTATGGCACATGGGCTATGGCACATGGGCTATGGCATAGGAAAGGGGGCATAGCATAGGAAAGGGGGCATAGCATAGGAAAGGGGGCATAGCATAGGAAAGGGGGCATAGCATAGGAAAGGGGGCATAGCATAGGAAAGGGGGCATAGCATAGGAAAGGGGGCATAGCATAGGAAAGGGGGCATAGCATAGGAAAGGGGGCATAGCATAGGAAAGGGGGCATAGGCTATGGCACACGGGGAAGGGAGGGAGAGCACCTGAGCAGCGACGACAAGCACGGTCACTCGGCCATGCGCCAGCATTGCCACATCTGCCACTTCCTCTGCCGTCATTCCTGCCTGCTGCAGCTGCCTGTGGGGAGGGAGGGGGAGGAAGTGAAAGCAAGGTAACTGGAGGGATGAAAGGAGAGCAGGGCCTGTTGTTGAGGCGCCTCACAGCATGGACCAGCATTGGCACATCCGCCACCTCCTCTGCTGTCATTCCCGCCTGCTGCAGCTGCCTGCCTGCACAGAGGGAGGGGGAGAGAAGGGGGAGGAAGGGGGGGAATGGGAGGGAACTGGAGGATAAGGGAGGGATGAGAGAAAAGAAGGGCTTATTTCTGAAGGGTGGGGAAGGAAGTAGGAAGTGGTGAATGCAAACAAGCCACCCTTCATGTGCCAAGGAGGTTGGGGACATGGTATAGGGGGAGCGAGGGAGCGAGGGAGGGAGGGAGGGAGGGAGGGAGGGAGGGAGGGAGGGAGGGAGGGAGGGAGGGGAAAGGTTTCAGATTCAGAAAGTTGGCAAAGATTACAATTTTGGTGCGGCACTAATGCTTAGCCTCGTCAAAGCATCAGCAGATTCACCTGAAGGCAATACCAACTTCAACTGATGGCAACAACAGTCAAACCTGAAGGCACCTGATATTTCACCCGAAGGCAATAGCAGCTTCACCAGACAGCCGCACCAATCTGACATTTCACCTGAAGGCATCAGCAATTTCACCTGAAGGCATCAGCAATTTCACCTGATGGCATCAGCAATTTCACCTGATAGCAGCAGCGACCTCCTGCCAGGAGCCTCGCCCCTCTCTCACCGCCGCTATCAGCTCCTCCCTCCTCTCCCTCTCCTTCCGCCTCCCCTCCTCCGCTTCCCCCGAATCCCCTCCCCCGGCTCCCGCCATGGGGAACATTGGCGCGCCTGGGACTGCGGAAAGGGGGGGGGAAAGGGGGTGCGGAAAGAGCGACCGCGGGGGGAAGGCGCAACAGACGCATTTGGCGCGCCTGACCCTCAGGGGCGGGCGGGGAGTGGGAATGCGCGGAGATGCGGTTACACGGGCGGACCGGGGATGAAATAAGAGGGGAAAGGTTGGGTGAAGGGGGGGAGGGCGGAAGGGGAGGGCGGAGGCGGAGCTCACTGGGCAGCGGGGGCGGGCGGAACTGCCCGAGGGCGGGCGGGGACGCGGCGGACATCATGCGCCGGACGTTCTTCGCGGAGCGGCTCATCACTTTCATTGGCGGCGGCGGGGGCGGCGGCCGCGAGTCGCTGCCCTCTGGCGGCTCGCGCTGCGAGGAGTTTGCGGAAGCTCTTAGCACGAGCGGTGCGTGCGGTTTGAGAGGCGCGTGCTTGAGGGTTATATGCTTACGCCGTGAAAGAGGGACGGATGGGCGCTGCGCGAAGGCTGGAGGGGGAAGAACGGTGGGGGAAGGAGGAAGCGGGCGGGCGACTAGCGCTGCTGCTGAGGTGAGCTGCGACATTGGATCCGTCGCGCGGTGGCAGCGGTGCGACTGTGCGAGCGACAGTGCTAGGCAGTAATGCGGCAGCGCGTCAGCGGGATAGGTCAGTGCGTCGGGTTCAGGGAGGAGGGCGATTATAAGAGGCGCCTATGAATCTGTGATCTGAAGCCACGAGAGTTGGTGGGTGGGCGATTTTTGAAAACGCGATAAAGAATGCCTCACATACGTGCAGGAAAAATATAGAACTTGCTCGAGAGAAAACTACAGTGGTACTATGGTTTAGATGCACACAAAGATATTATAGATGTCCTGATCTTCCGAATTTACTGCTAGGAGTCTGGATATTCACCTCCAGTATTATGAAGGGCGTGCGTTCGCAAGCCCGCTAGCCCGCACGCCCGCCTTGAGTGCCACTGGCATGAAAGAAAGAGTGGTGTGGCATGAAAGGATGCTTCTATACAAGATACCCGTGCTCTGTACACTCTGCGCGATCTTCTTTGAGCCTTGATATACCATATAGAAAAACACTGCCCTATTTCGTGAAAGGCCAAAACGCCTAACAAGCTACATCTACTCCATCAGGCAAAGCTACAGCCTACTTTGGGCATTTAAACCTACCATGTCGTTTTTTACAGAATGTTTTCATAAATGGTTTGGAGCACGGAACTGCAACCCAATAAGGCCACACACACAGACCCACAGAATCAGAGCAGCCACATGTAGAGAAGACATCAGCAAGAGAATGAGAAAACATGGAAAGGTACGAACTGCAGATTACAGCCAGAAATTATAGCAAGTGAAGGCCGGCGAGGGGGAAAGAAGGGGAGAGGAGAGGAGTGGGAGGAGAGGGGGAGAGAGAAGGAGAGTGGGAAAGGGGAGGAGAGCTGGAGAGGGGAGGAGAGGGGGAGAGGAGAGGAGACGGTGGGGGACGGAGCGAGGAGAGACCACGGGACTGAGAGACCAAGCAGCTTTTAACAGCTCATGCCAGTGCTCACACACTCACTGCATCTTCTTCTCATCGCGTAAGTTCCCGTGGGGCAAGAGTTGCACTTCCAACCCTTATCAGGCGGGTTCGACAGCGCATCAACCTCCCACGGCGGCCAATCTCCATACTGAGGAATACACGACTTGGCCCACTTGCACTGGAACGAGTTGAGCAACTTCCGCTTGGCACAGGGGTTCCGCCGGCATCCGATGGTGCGCTGGCGGCGCGGAAACCCGGTTACCCCGTTACAGCCGGAGGTGCGCGAGAGGCAGTTCATGGCGGCGTTGCAGACGCGCAGGCGGCGGGTGGTGGGTGGGAGGGGGCCGGTGAGGAAGTTGACGGAGAGGAAGAGCGCTGTGAGCTTGGGTCCGATTTTCCTTATTGTGCCTGTTAGCTTGTTGCCCTGTAATGAGCTGGAGGGGGAAGGGGGTTGTTGGAGGGAAGTGGAGGGCAGAGAGGGGAAGGGGGGGGATTGGGTTTCTTTCAGTCAACTCAAAAGCCTGGTGTTGCATGCGGGAGGCGGGCAAGAGTGAGCCGGTGAGGAAGTTGATGGAGACGAAGAGCGCTGTGAGCTTGGGTCCCACGGCCTTTATTGTGCCCGTTAGCTTGTTGCCTTGTAACGACCTGGGTGGGTGGGAAAGGAGCGGAAGGAAAGGAAGGGGAGAGGGAGGGAGGGGGAGGAGGCAAGGGAAGGGGAGAGGGAGGGTGGAGGGGGGTTGGGGTGGGTAGAAGAGGATAAGGATGCAGTGAGGAAAGGGGAAGGGATTGAAGAGGGGAGGGAGGTGTGGGACCAACATGTTAAAGGGGGAGGTGAGGGAAGCAAGAAGCAGAGGAGAGTTTGGTGGTTGCCAAGGCAGGAAAAGGGGTTCTCCAGTCTCTGATACACAGAGGCCCTCAGCATGCTTGGAATGCAGGCAGACGAATGGGGATTGGCTCGAGAAAAGAGGGAGGGGGCGTGCGTGGTTAAAGTGAGACAAAAAGGGGGACGGGGTGAAGAGGAGGGGCAGGAAGCAAGGCAGACGGAGGAAAGGCACTTACAGGTCAGTTAGAGTGGGTGAGTTAATGAGGTAAGGTGGGACGGGTCCATAGAAGGAGTTCCCATCCAACACTCTGCAGACAGGGGAGGGGTGACGGTGGAAAGGCATGATGATGGTGGAAAGGCATGATGAGCATGGTATTAAGACATGATGATGATGGATGGTGGTGCGTGAGGTCAACAAGGCAATGCGATGGGTCAGAAGAAAATGACCACACAACAAACAGATGACCACACAACAAACAGATGACCACACAACAGACAGATGACCACACAACAAACAGATGACCACACAACAAACAGATGACCACACAACAAACAGATGACCACACAACAAACAGATGACCACACAACAAACAGATGACAGGGAAGGGCGAATCTGACAGAAAAAGGCACGAGAGAAAGTCACGTTAAGCAAGGCAGGGGAGGCGTGACTCACAAATGTCTTAGGTTAGGCAAACAGGAGAGGGGTCTGGCGAAGTCGTCTAGTCTTGTGTTAATGAGTCCCATGACGAGCACTCTGGTGGTGCAGCACCACGTGCCACCACCACGATGGAGGGGGGAAGGGGGAAGGAAGGGGGGAAGGACGAGGGGGAAGGAGGGGGGGAAGGCAAAGGAAGGCGGCAATTAGATAAGTGAGGAGAGGGGTCTGGCGAAGTCGTCTAGTCTGGTGTTAATAAGGCCCATGATGAGCACCCTGGTGGGTGCAGCACCGTGCCATCACACCAGGATGGATCATGCAGGGGGAAGGGAGGCGAGGAGGGGGAAGAGGGAAGGGGGGAAGGAGGAGGGGGCAGGGAAAGGGGGGAGGAGAGTGGGAGGAGAGTTCAAGGGGGAGGGGGGGGGGGGGGGGGGGGAAGGGAAGAGGGGGGGGAGGGCGAAATGGGAGAGGGGAGGGAGGATGAAGAGTGATGGGAAGGAGGGGGGTGCGGGCGGAGAAAGGTGGCAATCTGGTAAGAGGCTGAGAAGCAAGCAGGAGAGTGGGGAACCAATATAGGACGAGGGGAGAATAAGGTGCCAGTGGGTAGGATGACATAGAAGCACGGTTGACAGCAGCAAGAGATGGAGGAGAGGCACGTTTACACCTGGGTTCCAGTAGGAACGAGGACCGTTTGACACTAGAACAGTTTGACACGAGGATTATGTGACATGAGGACTGTAAAGCAGAGCAGGAATCTGAGGCGTACAATCTGGTGAGTGTGGTGAGACGGGCGAAGGCGGTGGGGAGGGATCTGAGGCCCACCAGGGAGTTGCCGAGCGTGGGTATCCTGGTAGGGGGCGATGGGGATGGGGGGAGGCCGGGGGCGATGGGGATGAGGGGAAGGGGAGGGCGATGGGGATGAGGGGAGAGGGGGGGAGGAGGATGAGGACAAGAGAGGAGGGGCCGATAGGTGAAGGGACGGGACATGGGGAATGAGTGCTAGAGGGACGATGGCGCATGGGGTGGGGGAGGGAGCATGGGGCGGAGGAAGGCGCATGGGGTGGGAAAGGCGCATAGAGGGAGCACGGGGTGGGGGATGGCGCACGGGGTGCGGGATGGCGCACATGGCGCACGGGGTGGGGGATGGCGCAGCGGGCGGTGTGGGGATGGCGCATGGGGTGGGGGGTGGCGCCCGGGGTGGGGGAGGAAGCATGGGTTGGGGGCGGACGCATGGCGTGGGGAGGGGCGCATGGGGCGCGGGATGGCGCAGAGGGGGGGGAGGATGGCTTATGGGGTGGGGGGATGGCACATTGGGCGGGGATGGCGCATGGGGTGGGGGGGTGGCACATTGGGCGGGGATGGCGCATGGGGTGGGGGACAATAGAGACTGCGGGATGCGTACACAAGGTGGGGTGCGGACACGAGGGAGAGAGAGATCAAGTTTGAGCAGAAACGGGAGACACGGAGCAGACGGGCGTGAAGGATGAGACAGGAGAAGGAATAGAGCTTGGAGAGAAAGGGAAAGAAGTGGCGGGAAGAGGGAGGGAGAGGGAAGGGGGAATAGGAAGGGAAATGAGAAAGAAGATGTAGAAAACGAGCGGGAGGCCGAGGAAGGGGCGGAAGGGGAGCGGAAAGAGAAGCAATGAGAGTGCCAGGGAACACAAGGACGATGCAAGGGGAAGAGAGAGCAGTACTCGAAGTATCGGATAGGGAAGATCCTGCGGGGGAGATTCGAGCGCAACACTCCAACGCGGAGGTTCCGCGGAGGGTCGGCGGAATTGTGACGCGCAGGCGGCAGCGACAGAGACACACACGCGACGGCATGAATGGCGGGATGCGGGGGGGACCGGGAATGGCGGGATGTGGGGCGCAACGGAAGGGGGTGGCGTGGCGTGAGAAACAAGTCGCTCACCTAAACGCAATGATGGGATCGACGCGACGAGCAGTTGCGCCTGACGTGGCAAAGATCATGACGGACGTGGCAAGCGTGGCTATTGACGTGGCAGTGAGAGACGTCCACGTGGCGGACGGGCGAGTGGGCGTCGGCGTTGCTTACATGGCACGAGGGTTGCCGTTGGGGTCGCAGATCACGCCCTTAAAGCCGCTGCCCGTGCCGTCGTCGGAGCACGGCGCGCCTTCACTCCAGTTCTGCTCCGGGTCGAGATTAAAGGCCCTCATAATCTCGTACATGGGTTGCACTGCCAGGCACGAAAAAAGCAGCGTGGATAGATGCTCGTCAGGTCGTCAGGTCGTCAGGTCGTCGGGTCATCGGGTCGCGGTGGTCTCGTACGTGTGTTGCATTTTTTAGGCGCCTCAAAAGCTTTCGTATGCCTGTTGAACTCCGTGCCACCCAACTCCAGCAACGCGACACCCAGCTCGAAAGCATCAAGACGGAACGATGATCGTAACAGTCCACAGGAGGAAAGCCGCGAAACAAACGACCTGCTGACTACCTGCAGGCCTACTTTCGAGCTCCTAAAAGCTATTGCTTCAACCCGGTCCTGCCAGCCTGCAGGCTCCTTTTCACAGGTTCCCCGCTGACAATCCCAACTAACAGTGATCGCTTCAACCCACTCGTTGCTCTTCTCTGGAACTAACAATCTCACGGCTGGCGAGGGCTTTAAGGCAAAAGGAGGACGAGGCAGCGAGAACAATGTGCATGTGCTGAGATGAGGCACGTCGCGAGTGGACGCGCGGATTGGAAAAGTGTAGGGTTGGGTGCGGGGGAAGGCGGGGATGAAGAGGGAAGGCGATTGGGGAGAGAAAGGCGGGTGGATGACGGAACTGGCAAGAGAGCCTGAGAGCTTGCGAGTAGCGGGAGGGTGACAGAGCATGGTGCACAGCGGGAGAGCGAAAGAGCACGCGCGGTGCGCTAGCCGGCGAGTCAGGAGGCGCCAAAACGACTGAATCTTCCATACGAGCAGCTTTTTCAGCAATATAACCTTAATCAGCTGACGGAGCGGTGTGTCTGCCAGTTGCTCTCTGAGCTTTTTAAAAAAGAATCCCCATGGTCCACACAGCACGTCCGTGGTCTTATCATGGGCTAGTTCCCCCGGGCCGGGGTCTTACCGAATTTGGAATTGAATGGCATCTCCGTTGTCGCCAGTGCCGCGCGATGTTTATTCGATGGGAGTAACAGCAGCACAAGTAGCAGGGTAATGAGCATGCTGCGACTATCGACATGGAAAAATGGTGCACGATCGATCGCCGTCGAAGAGGGGAGGATGCAAGCTATGTGTCTCACCTAATCTTAAAACGTCACCCAAAGAAATAAGGTCCTAAAACGGATGGACTAGGCACCGCTATTACACCGTGTCGCGATTTCCCTTCTAAGGTGCAGAAGAGCAGACACAAACCTAAATGCTAGAAAAGGTGAAGAGCTCGCTGGGCATCTTGCTCGTCAACATCAGGAATCACAGTATCAACGATGCTAAAGAACAAACACGCGAGTGCTAGGAGAGAATGGCCCTAACTCCAAGCCATTGGGAACCGCTTTCACTCAGCAACAAGATCGTTCTGTTAAAGCTGAAGTATACATTTGTCAGCAGGGTTCAGGGTTTAGGGAGTGAGCCTCACAGGTTTGGGGCAACTTTTCAAATTTCAAAAGTTTTTGAACTCTTCCTTTCAATGCTGACAACTAAACAGCCAAAAGCGGGCGAGTGTGAGATAGCGTTCCCACGGTTTGGACAAGACGTGAGTCTGCCCACGCGTCTCGGAATTCGACGGGATGGTGTCCATGGTGGGGCACTTCCCCACTTCGGACACCTCAGTGTCTTATGCCCAGAATTCGCAATTTCGGCGACAATCTCGCCTCCAATTACAGAGCAAAACAAAGTTTCGCCAACCGTAGCGAGGTCCAGCATTAATTTTCAGGTGTATTTTTTCAAGTAGTTCTGTTTTTTCGAGCGTGGAGTTGACTTTGGTTTCTGCACGGGGAGAGGGTTTCTTCTCGATTTTTAGGGCGCGTGTGATTTTTTATTTTGCCATAAGTTTATGTTTTTGACTCGATTTAAGCATTTGAACATGACTCGACTTTGAGCATTGGCAATGTTCGAACCGCAGGTGACCTTGCTTGTAGATTCACAATCACACACGAAAGTGCGAATTTGCAGGTTCGAGCTTACAGGGGGGGGACCGAGCCGCCTATAGGGTGTGTAGGTTACCCGGTATTCTTCTATTGACAGCGCGAAAGAGTCGCGAGCTTGGCTGGTTCCTCGTACGTGCCTGAAACCACACACGTTCGGTTCAGTGTGCTACACAAAGTTTGTGCATATATTCGAATCTTGTTCACATTTGTATGTTCGCACCTGGTACTCTTGAAATTGGAGTCACCATTGGCGAAATCTCCTGCGAACATTGGCGAAACTGGTTACCACCTAAAGTTCGACCTTCAATACGAACCCCAAAAAAAATCACACGCGCCCTTAAGACGCTTTCGCCCCAAAAGTGATTCGTTACCCTGCCCTTCGAGTGCATTTCACACCGTGGTTTGCGGATGTTGTCGTTAGACGTCCGATCGGGTAACCATGATGGATCTTACGACCCAGATTCTTTGCACAATGGTGTCCAGACCTGGAGTCGCGACCATTCAAATATTACAACATTGGAAATTTGCGAGACGCGTGGGCAGACTCACACTTGTCAAAACCGTGGGAACGCTCCCTGAAATTTTGTTGGTAGAGAGGGAGGTGGGGTCAGGTAATGTTAGGTTAGGTTAGGTTAGGAGAAAGAATCCGTTCCATGGAGATGGTTGGTGAGTGGGTCGGTGAGGAGGTTGTGTAATGAGGGGGAGGTAGGGAGCGAGAGCAGGAGGCAGCCATGGTGCCTGCCACGGCAAGAATGTTCCAGCCACGGAAAAGCCATTTCACTCGAGCACAATTGATTTCCACGGTGCTTGCTTGTGCTCCGCCGTTGGCCTTGTTTGGCTTGCCTGGTCTGGTCTAGTTTGGTCGAAAAAAAAAACGTTTTTACACTCGCACGGATGAATGGAACAGACCAACAAAGCCTCCAAAGTTCCAAACACGACAGACCACATCGGCAGCATGAGGATTGCTCGTCGGATGGTCCTGGTACCCGGCAATACAGTTTGGTTGCAAAGGTTTTGTACACTGCCCGTTGCTCGACCGTTCAGGAGGTGCGGTGCGACATCACATGAGCAGGCAGAATCTCCTCCAAGCGTGTTCTTTGTTTACCCGTCAACAGTCCGGCACAGAAGAAACTGTTGGAGCCCACTTATCACCGACTTCGATTCGGTGACCGACTTCTTTATGCAGCTCCCATGGTCCAGAAATAGGTATTCCTACTTGATGGCAAGAACCCATCAACAACTTGAGTGTCATTGTACAATGAAAGAAACTCACAAGCACCTGCAGTATATGTTATATAAAAAAACATCACTAATTTTGTACAACCAGAAGCATCTCAATCGCATAACGAATAAGAAGCAATAACATGCTGCATATGTGTCGAAATGGAACAAAGATGCGGTAAAAACTTATATTCATATCTTCCGTGTTCAGGACTAGGCACTCATCCATCTTCACTGATTACGATAGTTGGCATTCACATGTCATCTCTCACGCACGTATCTTTGGCGCAATGCTCGTCCCATCTGCAACTTGTATGACTTGGTTGCACGATGCATGATCAGATCACCCAAATGAGCCTCCAACTGTCAGTCAAGTCGCTGGGCTTTAGGCTCCAAAACCGTGATGGCCACATCACAGCCTGACACGGCACCTCATCACCACCAGGTCCCCGTCCCTTTCCCAACCCCACTCCCACCCCCACCCTCAACACCCACCAAAATGCCTTGTCAGACAATGACATGTCAGGCAATGGCATGCCAGGCAATGGCATGCCAGGCAACACATGCATACTGAAACATACCACACCATGAGAATCATAACAGACAGCACTGAAGCTTACCCAAGCATGAAAGTGCACATCATTCCACATAGAGATATGGCACGCCACATTCTGACACACCACAGTATTACAAGCCACATAGAGATATGGCACGCCACACTCTGACACACCACTCCTTCTCACCCATCCCACCCAAGGGGAGTCACCCCTTCCTTCTCACCCATCCCACCCAACAGGATTCACCCCTTCCTTCTCACCCATCCCACCCAAGGGGACTCACCCCTTCCTTCTCACCCATCCCACCCAACAGGATTCACCCCTTCTCACCCATCCCACCCAAGGGGACTCACCCCTTCCTTCTCACCAATCCCACCCAAGGGGATTCACCCCTTCCTTCTCATCCATCCCACCCAAGGGAATTCACCCTTTCCATCTCACCCAACCCACTCAAGGGGATTCACCCCTTCCTTCTCACCCATTCCACCCAAGGGGATTCACCCCTTCCTTCTCGCCCATCCCACTCAAGGGGGATTCACCCCTTCCTTCTCACCCATCCCACCCAAGGGGGATTCACCCCTTCCTTCTCACCCATCCCACCCAAGGGGATTCACCCCTTCCTTCTCACCCATCCCACTCAAGGGGGATTCACCCCTTCCTTCTCACCCATCCCACCCAAGGGGATTCACCCCTTCCTTCTCACCCATCCCACCCAAGAAGATTCACCCCTTCCTTCTCACCCATCCCACCCAAGGGGATTCACCCCTTCCTTCTCATCCATCCCACCCAAGGGCATTCAGGCCCCTTCTCTCTCACCCGCTCAAGGGGTTTCAGGCCCCTTCCCTCTCACCCGCTCAAGGGGTTTCAGGCCCCTTCTCTCTCACCCACCCACCCAGCCCATCCCCAGCTTCACCTGCCAGCAGTAGGAGCAGCAGAAAGCCCACTTTCTTAAGGAAACAGCACCCCCAGAGGCGGTGCCTTGTGGGGCGAGGTGTGGTAATGGAAAATTGCTTCCAGCCCAAGACTCAAATCCCACCCCTGACGTAGCCAGAGCTGACGCGAACCAGAGCCGCCGGCCGGTCAGCTCTGACGGTGTCCATTAGGCCTTGCACGTCAGTTTGGTTGCTTGAGCACCGAGTGCCGTGCCGCGCAGATTCCACCCACCACACCCTACCACCACAAGACACAACCCCAGGTGATGCTGCCCCTAAGGCAGTGAACTCCCCACTTGCTCCCATGCTCCCCACCCACCCACCCCACACTTCACCCCCATGCCTCCTCACCTGTACCTACCACAGCCGTGCAGAGCGCCATGATGCTGAGGCTGCTGGGAAGTGGAGAGAGAAGGGGGGATTAGGGGAGGGAGAGACTCCGCTGTGGTCCAGGCCGGGTGCTGCTGGGAGGGAAAGGAAAAGGGAGAGAAGAGGAGGTGAGTGAGGGGGTAGACTCCACTCTCCCAGCCTTGCTCCAGTGCTCCCACCTTCAGCCTGCAGGAGAGAAAGGGAGGGAGGAAGAGAGGGGAGGGAATCAGATCACCACACCTCACCTGATACCTTACCAAACCTTTTACCACACCTTGCTTACACCATGCCTAACCTAATCTCCTGCCCATCCCCCAAACCCCCACTGCTGCTGCACTGCTGCTTCTGCTGCTGCAACTGCTGCTGCCGGTCTGTTACTCTGCTTCCTCTGCTGCACTCTTCTCTTGATGCCAAGTGACCTGGTGGCGGGCAGAGAAGGGGGAGGGGTGGTGATGTGACGTGAACAGAAACACTAAAGTCAACACAGGGCGAAGCAGAAGCATAAGCAGCAGGGGAGGCAGCGCCAAAGACCCACAGCAACACGTGAGTGTGGCAGCAAAGAGCTGGAAAGAGGCTTACCTTGGAAGACTCAAGCCCAAGCCCATACTCACCCTTTTGGCAGCGGGGTTGCCATGCTGCAGTGCTGCCTCCCTCCCGTCCCCTCCCAGCGCTGCCTCCCTCCCTCCCTCCTGCACGGCCACAGGGGAGGGGGGTGGGGAAGCGTCGGTGTTGACCCCAGCGCCCCTCCCCTCCACCTGCAACGAAGACACACAGAGCCTGTCAGTGTGCAATCACGGCATGAAGCTGAATTGGCAACTGTGAGTTTGAAGGCAGCACAGGGGAAGGGACGGGACACTGGTGGAGGCGCAACCACAAGCCACAGACCTTTGAGGGAACCTGGGGGGATAAACCTGCTGTAAGGATTGTACCTGATGGGGCTGTAAAGTCTAGGGAGGGCTTAACCTGAGGGTGTTTACCAGGAGTAAGGGAAGGTCTGTGGCTTGTGAAGGGCCCCAACCAGTGGCTGGGTTTCAGGGATAAAAAACAGAAGCCCATGCGAAAAAGACTTATGAGCAGTGAGCAGCAAGCAAGAGTGAGTCCAGGGAGGCGAAAGCACTTAGCTGGCAGCTGTGAGAAGCGGTGAGAGATGCTGCCTCATGTCCCCCTCCCTCCCCTCCCCTCCCCTTCCCTGCTGCACCAGTGCTCCCCACTGCTGATGCTGCTACAACTGGTCCCGTCAGCTGTCTCTGCTGCATTGCAAGTGACCTGGAAGGGGGCAGAACGGAAGGGAAGGCCAGGAGGGGAGTGAGTGCAGGCCTTGAAACAGGCAAGGGCAAATCAAAGAGGCGAACGCGAGAGGGAAACTTAACAGACAACGAGTGCAGCGGGAAAGAGAGGTAAGAGGCTTACCTTGAGAGGCCAAGCCCATCCCGATACTCTCCCTTGTGTTGAGTCTGCTGCAGCACTGCCTCCCTCCCCCTCCCCTCCTGAATCATGGCCCCTTCTCTCCCCTCCCCTGCTGCATCAATGCTCCCCGTTGCTGCAGTTGCTGATGCTGCCACAACTGGTCCCGCCAGCTGTCTCTGGAAAGGGGCAGAACGGAAGGGAAGGCCAGAAGGGGAGTGAGTGCAGGCCTTGAAACAGGCAAGGGCGAATCAAAGGATGAGCGCGAGGGCAACTTAGCAGAAAACGAGTGCAGCGGGTTAGAGAGGTAAGAGGCTCACCTTGAAAGGCCAAGCCCATCCCGATACTCTCCCATGCTGCAGTGGGATTGCCATGCTGCAGCGCTGCCTCCCTCCCGTCCCCATGAGTCCCTGCATGGCCGCCGGGGAGGGGCGTGGGGAAGCGTCGGTGATGACCCCAACGCCCCTCCCCGCCACCTGCAATGCACACACACGGCAGTGGTCAGTATGCATGGCATGGCCGCAAGACAAGCCACAGACAGGAAACTGCCAAAACTGGAATAGAAGGGAGGGCCACGGGTTGAAGCAAGGCCACACGCCACAGACACCAAGAAAACTTGCACCTGAGGGGGAGACCTGGACCTGAGAGGGTTATTTGCACACCTGAGGGGATTACCTGCATACCTGAGAGGGTTACCTGCGTACTTGAGAGGGTTACCTGCATACCTGAGAGGGTTACCTGCACACCTGAGGGGGTTACCTGAAGTGCGGGTGTCTGTGGCATGTGAACCGGGCCGCAACCAGTGGCAAGATTTGAAGGATAAAACGCAGAAGCCCATGCGAAAAAAACTTGAGCAAGCAATATGAGCAGTGAGCAGCAAGCAAGAGTGGGTCCAGGGAGGCGAAAGCACTTAGCTGGCAGCTGAAGAACCGCTGAGAGGTGCTGCCTCATGTCCCCTTCCCTCCCCTCCCCTGCTGCACCAGTGCTCCCAGTTGCTGACGCTGCCGCAACTGGTCCCGTCAGCTCTCTCTGCTGCATTGCAAGGGACCTGGAAGGGGGCAAAACGGAAGGGAAGGCCAGGAGGGGAGTGAGTGCAGGCCTTCAAACAGGCAAGGGCAAATCAAACAGGCGAAAGCGAGAGGGAAACTTTGCAGAAAACGAGTGCAGCGGGAAAGAGAGGTAAGAGGCTTACCTTGAGAGGCCAAGCCCATCCCGATACTCTCCCGTGTGTTGAGTCTGCTGCAGGGCTGCCTCCCTCCCCTTCCCCTCCTGAATCATGGCCCCTCCCCTCCCCTCCCCTGCTGCATCAGTGCTCCCCGTTGCTGATGCTGCCACAACTGGTCCCACCAGCCGTCTCTAGAAAGGGGCAGAACGGAAGGGAAGGCCAGAAGGGGAGTGAGTGCATGCTTTGAAACAGGCAAGGGCGAATATCAAACTAATGAGCGTGAGAGGGCAACTTAGCAGAAAACGATTGCAGCGGGTTAGAGAGGTAAGAGGCTCACCTTGAGAGGCCAAGCCCATCCCGATACTCTCCCTTGCTGGAGTGGGATTGCCATGCTACAGCGCTGCCTCCCTCCCGTCCCCATGAGTCCCTGCATGGCTACAGGGGAGGAGCGTGGGGAAGCGTCGGTGTAGACCCCAACACCCCTCCCCTCCACCTGCAATGCACACACACAGCGGTGGTCAGTATGCATGGCATGGGTGCAAGCACAAGTCACAAACTGAAAACTGCCAGAACTGGAAGAGAAGGGAGGGCCACGGGTTGAGGAAATGCCACACGCCACAGACACCAAGGGAACCTGCACCTGAGAGGGTTACCTGCATACCTGAGGGGGTTACCTGAAGTGCGGGTGTCTGTGGCATGTGAACTTCACTCAACCAGTGGCATGATTTGAAAGGTAAGGGCAAAAGAACGACCAGAAAATGAAATTGCGGCAAGAAATGTACAAGGCATGATGCGGCAGGAAAGGGTGAGAGAATGGAGGAGGGTTACTTAACTGACGTGTGAGGTCGAGATCAAGGCAGCTGCAGCAACTCCAGCTGCCTCCCTCAATGGCAGCCCTCCTCCCCGCTTCCACGGCAGCCTTCCTCCTCCCAGCCTTCCCGTGTGCGTCCCTGCACGGCCACAGGGGAGGGGCGTGAGGGAGCGTCGGTGTTGACCCCACACCCCTCCCCACCACCTGCAATGCGCACACACAGAGCTAGTGAGAGCACGGTGGTGGGAGCAAGGTGAATGGGTGAATGAGCACACAACGCAAGAGAAGAGGGAGGAGCCACTGGTGGAGGCATGGCCACAAGCTACAGACCCAAGGGCACCTGAAAAAGAACCTGAGGGGTGTACCTGCACCTGAGAGGGTTACCTGCACCAGAGGGAATTACCTGAAGCAGGGAGGTCTGTAGCATGTGAGTAGTGCCTAACCAGTGGCGTTGTTTCAAGAGGACGCTGCAACAGCAGATGAAACGAAGGAAACAGCAAGGGTGACGGCATGGGGGAACGGGTTCTTAGCTGATGGCATGAGAGCAGGAGGCAGTTGAAGCAGCATGGGTAGCAGGCATGGCATGGCGTCTCAGGCGACCAGCAGCGCTGCTCTTGAGCTCCTGCGAGGGGGGTTGGAGGGGAGGGGAATAGAGGGGTGGAGATGGGAGGGGAGGGAGAAGCAGTGAGTGGGAGGGAGTCACTACATGGAAGGGGACACATGCATGCACGCGTGGTGAATAGAAGAGTGAAAGGAGGGCCACTGGTGGACGCACACTCACAAGCCACAGACTACGGTCTTTACCAAAGGGCTTTACCTGGAGATAGGCTTTACCTGGGGGAGGGCTTGTGGGCTGTTTCGTGTGCTGCCACCAGGGGTTCCGTTTTGGGAGAAACAGAAATGACGGAAAAACGAAGCAAGAATGGATGCATGGAGGAGCGAGCACTTAGCTGATTGTGTGGTGGTTGTGTGCAGAGGGCAGGTGTAGCATGTGCCGGCACCACCAGGTGTTGTCTGCTGCCGCCACTGGCTTGAGGCATGAGGAGGACGCTGATGCTGCCCCACGTCCGTTCGTCTGCCACTGCTGCTCGCGATGAGGCCTGGAAGCGGGGGAGGGGAGGGAGGGGAGGGGGAGGGGAGGGGGAGGGGAGGGGGAGGGGAGGGGTCCACAAGGAGAGGCAGTGAGTGGGATGGGATGGAGGCACAGTGCGAAAGAGAATGGATACACGCGCGGTAGAATTGAAG